GGTATACTCATTTGAAAACATGACTAGCAACATCAGTGGCGTACTAAGGGGGGGGCGGGGCGGGCGGTCCGCCCCGGGTGCCAGCCGGGTGGGGGGTGCCATGGCCAGCCCCCCCGCCCCCCCCATGCTGCAGCCGCCCGAGCGCTCTGTGAAGAGCCTCAGGCGGCTGCAGCTTTGCCCGGGCGGTGCTTCCATGAGGGCGGACCGCACCGCCCGGGCGCAGCCTGAGGAGAGGCTGACAGGAGGGAGCGCTCCTGTCAGCTCCCTCACTGCAGCATGCTAGTCCGCGGGTACAGAGAGCAGCTGTCTCCTGTACCCGGCCGGACTAACAGGAAGTGCACACTGAGTGTGCACTTCCTGTTAGTCCGGCCGGGTACAGGAAACAAAAGCTCCCTGTACCCGCCGGCTATACTGGGCTCGGCCACGCTACAGGGAGGTGGGGGGTGTGAGAAAGAAGGGGTGAGAAAGAAAGGGGGGTGAGAGAGGGTGAGAAAGAAATAAGGGGGGGGTGTGAGAGAGGGTGAGAAAAGAAATAAGGGGTGAGAGAGGGGTGAGAAAAATAAATAAGTGGGGTGAGAGAGAGGGTGAGAAAAAGAAATAAGGGGGGGTGAGAGAGAAATAAGGGGGTGAGAGAGGGGTGAGAAAAGAAATAAGGGGGGTGAGAGGGGTGAGAAAAAGAAATAAGTGAGAGAGGGGTGAGAAAAAATAAATAAGTGGGTGAGAAAGAAATATAAAGTGAGAAAGAGAAATAAGGGGTGAGGAAAGAGAAATAGGGGTGAGAGAGAGAAATATAAGGAGAGAAATAAGGGGTGAGAGAGAAATAAGGGGTGGGTGAGAAAGAGAAAAGGGGGGTGAGAGAAAATAGGAGGGGGGTGAGAAAGAGAAATAAGGGGGGGTGAGAAAGAAGGGGGGGTGAGAGAAAATAGGAGGGGGGGTGAGAAAGATAAATAAGGGGGGGTGAGAAAGAGAAATAAGGGGGGGTGAGAAAGAGAAAAGGGGGGTGGGTGAGAAAGAGAAATTGGGAGGAGGAGAAGGAAATTGGAGCGGGAGGAGAGATTGACATTCATCACATACACACAATGCACCCCTTGCACACAGAAAAACACACAGACACACATACACAAGCAATGCAACCGTTACACACAATGCATCCCTTACACACACAGAAACACACAATGCATTCATTACACACACTCAATGCACCCCTTACACACATTCAATGCATCCCATACATACACAGAAACACACCTTGCAGTCCTTACACATACAAACACAATTTCACACAATGCATTCCTTACACACATATCAGGACATCCCCTACACACTCCACCCCCTGTGAACAAACTCATTGGTGGAACATGAAGGTGGACCCTGGGACCCAGACCTTGAGCTGTGTAAAGGACCCCCAAAAAATGGAGCTGCTTCCAGTTCTCCCAGAACATTGATTTTTGTGACCACAGTTACAAACCGCCTCCAGAGAGCCTGTTCTGCACCAGACCAGTGGAGCCAGACTGCAGCTAGAGCCCATCATCATCCTCATCTGGTTGTAAGTAGGCAATCTAGTATATTATTCGTGGCACTAAGCTCTAATTTACCTCACATTAAAGAAACACTATAGTCCCCAGAACCACTTCAGCTTAATGTAGTGGTTCTGGTGTCTATAGCCTGTCCCTGCAGGCCTTTTAATGTAAACACGGCGGCACTGCAGCACTGGCGTTAGTTAACATGGCAAATCATATGGTTGGGGCATTGTCATGTCACATGGGGGGCGGCAAACTTTACTTTTGCCTAGGGCGGCAAAAATCCTTGTACCGGCCCTGGCTGGAGGGGGCTGTGTGAGCTGTGGCCGCACAGTGTCCCATGGTAGTTAGGGTGCCGTGCGGCCAGTACAGCTCACTCAAGCAAACAGCTGATAAACTGGCCGCACGGAGGAAATGTGTATGTGTGACTGTCTGTCTGTAACTGAGTGTGTGACTGTCTGTCTGTAACTGAGTGTGTGACTGTCTGCCTGTAAATGTGTGTGTAGGGCTGCAGGGATTTTGTAGAAGGGGGTGGGGGTTTTGTATTGGGACAGGAGTCTTTATAAGGGGGGATAAGCAGGGGATTTGTGGAAGGGGGTTGCGGGGGTTTTGTAGATGGGGCAGTACAGGATTTGTAGAAGGGGCAGGACAGAGGTTTTGTAGGAGGGGCAGGGCAGGACAAGGGTTTTGTAGGAGGGGCTGACAGCGGTTTTGCAAAGTTTACAAATTGTAAAAATAAAAGAAATAAAACCTTTAACATTTTTTACAGGTTTTTTTTTTTTTTTTTTTTGGGGGGGGTGCCAAGCACAGGATCCGCCCCGGGTGCCAAATGCTCTAGGTACGCCCCTGAGCAACATTAATATCGGTAAGACATATACAGGGTTGCTCCAAGAAGGGTAAATTAAAAAATAAATTTACAACGACTAATTTCCAAAATTACAAGTATAACACTAAAATTGCTATTAGCAGATAGGTAGAAACAGAAAAGGGGTAGCCATGTCTCCTTTTGAAACTAACTAGACAGGATAAGGAAAGGAGGAACCAAGTAACATTATAAATATGGACAGGATAAGGAAAAGAGAAGCCAAGTAACGGCTCTGTTAGAAGACACGGATGGCCTTGATGTAAAACCATAGAGAGTTGAGAAACTAAAAAAAGGGAAAAACAAACACATTACCAATAGGTGTCTCTAAGTAAATATGGTGTAGAGATCGTAATGTGGTTATCACAGATGAGGTTGTCACCAAACAAAATAGATAAATAAATAAAGTAAACTTCACCTTTAATAGATAATTTGAAAGCCATTTAAATAAAGATAAAGTAACAAAAAAGTTGAGACCAAGATATTTGGTCCTAAATGAAAATTATAATCTTGCTATAGCAACACTAAGCATTCTTAATCAGTATGACTACCTGAAAGAGACAATATATTGAAAAATAAAACTTTGTGATGAAAAGTATCTATTTATGCAGTATATACAATACAGGTAGGGGGAGAGGCGATAACTATTCCTGATAACTAGACTCTGCTGCAGAAAGAGTCCAGTCAGATAGTTGAGCTGCCTCAATTAGGCAGAATGTGTATATACAAATCGCTTAACTCCACCGAAATAGGAGTAAAAGAATGCCAAAAAGGTGTATAATATGAAAAAAAGATTCTATAGAAGGGGAGATCCCTGATAGGAGTGATTCACAGAGATCAATAGGTGATAGTTGGTAACAGAAAGGAAAATATCACGTCCCTGTACCTAGACTGAACTTATCAGTACAAAACTAGCATGCCTTCGAGGGCACCCCTTAAGTAAAAACTGCACTATCACTTGACCCCCCCCCCACTAAGTAGCAAGACAGAAAATAAATAGAAATAAAAACAAAAACGGGCATAGAGCCCAGTCTCAGGATAGCCGTTCAGAAAAAGTATCTGTCAAATAAACGGCAGTGTGAAATAGAACACTGAGATATTGCCGACTACGGCGTCCTGAGCCCCTGACGCGCGCGTTTCGTTCAGGTACTCATCAGAGGGGAACTGAGAACCGGTAAGTATCGGGTTTAAATATGTGAAACTTTAATTTGATTCGTTAGGGTAAAGTGACCATTAACCAATAAGGTCAGAGAGGAGGAGTATCTATATTGCTGCCGGTATTAACCCTTTTGGGATACTAAACCGTGAAAATATATGTGGGTGACAGAAAGAGAATAGTAGATTTGTAAAAGAATATGTATAAAGTTAATTTTGAAACTGGAATAATAAGTTAAAACGCATAAAATCGATTGACTGTGTGAAACAAGACTGTATTCACATTGTGAATGAATGAGTTATATAGGGTTCTCAAATTAAATACCAACTAATAATTTTGGCCATTAAATGTATAGTTATTAATTGATCCAGAAGTGCTCTTAACGGATGAAGTGATAACTAGATTAGGAAAAGCGCGGCCTGTTTCCGCATATTAATACCGGTGCAGGACTCAAACACGGATCATTCAAATTATATAATATGAGGGTCATAAAAGTGTCTGTAATCAAGCACAGAAAATTATATGAATAAATTGGCACAAATACTCATGGTGATTAGAATGTGCTCTGAATGAGCAGATGCCAAATAAAGACAGCGGATCTACATAGTGCCCAACAACATGATACATAAAACTTTTAGGGGCATTAACTCACCGGTACATTTATAATTAGTTAAACAGATAGATATGATTCAACAGTCTAAGAGGTGTCTAAATTACCGGAATGAACCCTTTTAAGAGTTACTGGCCAGCCGATGCGGGACTCAGGCTCTGTACTAAAGTGCCTAAAGTGGCTGAATAGGCTAGTTTTAAACAAAAAAAAAATATTCTGTTAAGGAAATATAAGCCCTTGTAATCCAACAAACAATGAGTGTTGGATGTCCATCGAAGGGATACCTAGATATCGCTATAAGGGGATAGTGAAAACAGGACAAGGGTTTTAAATGGACTCAAAAAGAGTGTTCAAAGTAGAAACAATATAATACTCAACCAAGCGATAGTCACCGGTACAAAGCTCCAGCGTGTTGCTAGAGTTATACAGGGACCTAAGGTGGCAAAGCTAATTGGTAAGAGAAACCACTAAGCTGGTATACGCCTAACTTTAAAGATAGAATAAATGTGGATCTATTCATACAAATGACCACAGAGAAAATAGAACTACTCCGGGGCGTACCTAAAGCATTTGGCACCCGGGGCGGACCCTGAGTGTGGCAGCCACCCCCCCATAATAAAAATTTAAGAAAACACCCACAATTTTTTTCAATGTTTTCAATAATATTTATTGCACAAATTTGTAAACTGTATATCAACTTGAAAAAAATGGAACTATGAAAAATAAATTAACTTAAAAATAAATTTAAATAATTAACATTTACGTAACAGCTAATAAGCTTTCTATAAACAAAAAAACACACAGATTCAAAGTGACCACTCAGTCTATTCGACAGAGGTAATTTGCAATGATTCACATCCGCTGCCTTCGAGCCTTCATTTCTGCAAATTTATCGATTACTTCATCAAAGCCAATCTTCCTTGCATATTCATGCTCAATTGAAAGTATAGCCAGATTTGTCAACCTTGTCTCACTCATGGTTAAGCGAAATAAATTTTTTATCAATTTTAATTTGGAAAAACTTCTTTCACATGAAGCAATGGACACACACAGAGTCAAAAAGAATCTTAAACACAGTGACAAATTTGGCAGAGATTCACAATAATCCCATTTAACAATGAACACCAGGAACTGTAATGCCGTCCATTTCTTTGCTTCTTCAGCACTGATCTTGGCAGCTTCCAAATGCCTCCGCAGACGTTCAATTTCACTAAAGATGTCTTCATTAGAGAATTCGTCAAAAATCTCAGTCATTTTTGGGGTATAATTACGAATATCTTTCTCTGTTGCCATAACCAGAGAGTTTGGCTGAATAACAGTAAACATTGAAAGGATTTTTTTTAATTGCCTGGGAACGAATTTCCAACTCGTGATGAAAATGATCAAGGCACTCAAACATAGCCCTTTTCATTTCCTCTGGCAATGTGAGACCAGCGTCATTTGCCTTCTCTCCTGGCAATGTTTTACGAAGCTTTACTCTCCCTCTTCTTTCCATTGAAATGTCCATTTCTTTACACGTAGTAGTTGAATAACCAATGGCCTTTTCCACAATTTCACTGTGCTGATCTGCTAGAAACGCTTTCAAACCTTGTAGTTTCACAATGCACTTTTCAAGAGTGAGTCCGACTGTTTGCAAATATTTCTGTGTGATATTAACTTCTTCTAGAACTTCACACCAGAAAGAAAGGTAACACAAAAAAGAAAAATCACATACGGCAGACAGCAACATTTGAGCCGGTCCTCTTGTGTCCACATTTTCTTTGGGATTAGACAATTTGTCAAGGGCTGAAGTCAGTTTTTCAAAATTTGCCATCACTGGCTTCACAGCATCATAATGAGCGCTCCATCTTGTTTGGGAAAGTCTTTTCACTGTCACACCTAAATTCTCCATCAGCATTTCCCAACGATGTGTAGAAACCAAAAAAAAAAAGAATACACTCTCTCCAATGTTCCAAAAAAGGTCACACAGGAAACAACACTTCCAAATGAGTGCACCCCACATAGGTTCAGGAAATGGTTTGCACATGGCATAAACAAAGCCTTGGGATTAATCTCTTTTATTTTTGCCTGAAGTCATTCTCTTTCCAGATGCAACAGCATGTTTCAGCCTCATGAAATGTTCCTTTAAAATGGGATCATAGTTTGAGAGCAATTCTACCAATTGCAATTCCAGGAAGTTGCCTTTGTTTGCGGATGACATGTCTCTCTATGATCACGAAAGGGAAGATTCTGGTGAGCCAGAAACAAAGTTACATCCAAAAGGCGATGCAAAATATCCCTCCATTTCCTTTTCTCTCTGTCCACTGTTGTTTGATGGACGTGATCAAGGCATTTTTGTAGCTTCAATCCTGCTCTCAAGGTCTTCCATTTCTCCAAGCATGTAAGATGCTGCTCAGAAGCCTCATGATCAGACATCTTTGGGTTCAGCTTCCACCACAATTGAAACCCAGTAACAAAACTGAATGTCCCTGTTACTTTGTCATCAACAGCAAAAAGTCTGCAGCAAAAACAAAACAAACCTTGTTTTGATGGAGAGTACACTATCCACGTTCTAAGAATTTTTTCGCCATTAGGCAGAGCCTTACAGAACCATGCAGTGGTCAGCTGTCGACTCTTCCCTTTTGATTTCTCTCCTTGCCTTTCAACAGGACTGAATGGCCCATCTCTATCTTGGAAAGGTTCACTTCCCCTCTTAATAAGGTCCACTCTTAAAACATCTGGAACTGGAACTGGCCAAGCAGCAACATCAGAATAAACTGACAGTCGAACAGTCTCCTCTTCTTCATCATCATCATCATCATCAGAGTCTTGCTGATGCAGGCTTCTGCTGGCATCTCCTTTGTTTACATCGCTTTCACCGCTTGAAGATAAAATGATCTTCTCCAATTCTTGTGCTTTCACATATGAAGCTTCTTGAGAAGATACTTCAGGCATTTCACCTCTGGATTCAACAGACTGAATGTCTTCAGCACTTTCTCCGACTGCGGTAGATGTTGAAGGTGCAACATATTTTAAAATTGATCCAGACATCGCCTCAGCTGACTTTTCTCTTGCCTTCTTAATTTTTCGTTGCTGAGACCTGCTTGGTCGATTTTGCTTCATATTGGTGTTTTCTGCAGAAAAATCCTAAATGTATTTTGGTTCTAGGGTTCGCTAGTGCAATATCCATCTTATATTTCCCATCTTGGCATACCATTTGTAAAAGTAGACAACCCAGGGTATTTAAAGGGACACTATAGTCACCCAGACCACTTCAGCGCAATGAAGTGGTCTGGGTGCCAGGTCCCCCAGATTTTAACCCTCCGGATGTAAACATAGCAGTTTCAGCGAAACTGCTATGTTTACATAGCAGGGTTAATCCAACCTCTTCCTGACAGCCCCTTAATTCTTTAATCCCCCCTTTAATTCTTTAATTAATCCCCCCTCTTTAATCCACACCCCCCTTTAATTAATCTAACCCCCCTCTTTAATTAATCCACCCCCCATTAATGAATCCACCCCTTTTAATGAATCCACCCACCTTTAACTAAACCTCCCCCCTTTAATTATTTAATTAATCCACTCTCCCTTTAATTAATCCACCCTCCTTTAATTAATCCACCCCCTCTTTAATTAATCCACCCCACTAATTAATCCACCCCCCTTTATTTAACTCTTCCTTTAATTAATCCACCCCCCTTTTAATTAATCCACCACCCCTTTATTTAATCCACCCCCCTTTAACTAATTCACCCCCTTTAATAAAACCTCCATCCCCCTTTAATTATTTAATTAATCCCCTCCTTTAATTCCTTAATTAATCCCCCCACTCTAATTAATCCACCCCCCTCTTTAATTAATCCACCCCATCCCCAATTTAATCCACCCTAAATTAATCCATCACCCTTTAATTAATCACCCTCTAATTAATCCTCCCCTTTAATTAATCCACCCGCCAATTTAAATCCACCCCTCTAATTAATCCACCTCTTTTGGTATTTCTTACCTCTTTAATTAATCCACCCCCCTTTAATTAATCCGTGAAGGCGGACTGACGGCGCTGCGCATCAAGTTGCGCGAAGCCGCGGCCCGCAACACTCCTCCCTCTCCTCCTCATACAAGAAGTAAGTCCCGCCGGGCCGCAAAAGTGCTGCGGCTGTGCGCAGCGTAATGATGGGGGGTGACACTTGACACTGGAAGTCATGGCACCCCCCTTCTCAGTGACTCCCGGGGCGAGCCGCCCTCCCCGCTTCCCCCTTAGTACGCCACTGGAACTACTTAACCTCACGGAAAAAGTCATGATTAACAATCTATCTAATGCTGAAAACCAAGCCCTTAAGGAACTAAGTTCGGAAAAAAATCTAATTATTAAATCTTCCGACAAGGGGGCTAATATTGTCATCCTAGAAAAAGATAAATACATTGATATATGCATGATCCATCTCAATGATACGTCCTGTTATTTAAAACTCCAATGGGATCCTACCACTAAATACTTACAGGAGCTTAAACAATTACTTACAAAGGCTAGAGACAATGAGACGATCACCTGGGATGAATTTAAATTTTCAATTCCAAACAGCACTCCAACAGTGGTTACTTTCTATTGTCTACCCAAAATACATAAAGGCACCACCAATCCACCTGGTAGACTGATCGTCTCTGGGAATAACTCTCTCACTGAACAACCCAGCAAGTATTTAGAAAAAATACTTCACCCCTTGGTCATAGAACTTCCATAATTTATTCAGGACACGAAACATATGTTATTAATGCTGGAAAATCTTACGGTACCTCCTTATACCCTGATTGCAAGTCTTGATGTTGTTGCCTTATACAACAACATTCCCCATGACATCGGCTTAATGGCTACCTCCTATTTTTTGGAAAAAACTCAGAAATTTAATGAAATACAAAGAATATTCCTTATGGAGCTCATGGAATATATTCTTACCCACAACTTCTTCGTTTTTAATGGTACCTATTATCTGCAGACTAGGGGCACAGCTATGGGAACAGCTTGTACCCTTAGTTATGCTAACCTTTATTTAGGCTGGTGGGAAGCCACCATACTGGAAAAAAATCTTACAATCTGGCTACAATCAACTCATCCTAAATTGGCACCGCTATATTGACGATGTCCTAGTGTTTTGGACGGGCTCTATTAGTACCTTTGAAGAGATGGTTTCAAAATTAAATGAGAACCACATAGGTTTAAAACTCACTCACATTATCAGTGAGAATCAACTGGAGTTTCTCGACCTAACAATCCGATTAACAACATGAGGTGAAATTGAAACCGAACTATATCGTAATACAATAATTTGTTACATTGGAATAGCCATCATCCCTACAAACTGAAGGCAGGCATCCCCTTCGGACAGTACCTTAGAGCTAAAAGGAACTGCTCCAATGAGGAAACGTTCCTAAAGGAAGACAAGGCACTCAGAACACGCTTTAAAGAGCAAGGATATCCGAATAGGATCCTAAAACAAGCTTTCCAACGTGTCTCAATAATGGACAGAGCCCCCAGCCTTAGAAACCAAAGGAGCAAATCTACTAAACATACAATAAGATGCATTGGGACCTATGATCAGTATTGGAATCCTATTCGTAAGATTTTTTCGGATAATTGGCCCATACTCACTCATAATAAGGATGTGGCAACCAGCCTTCCACAATTTCCCAGCATCACACCACGAAGAGCTAAAAATCTACGTGAACACCGATCCTTCTAATCTTACATTCCAAATTTTAGAATGTATCCATCTTAACACAAGAAAAGGGAACTTTAATCTCATACTCTTAAAAAATGAATCAAGATGGATACATCAATTTAAAACACTGGAACCCCATGGACTCAATGAGGAGTTTAACTTTACTCCTTTTATACATAACTAAGTGCTGATTCCTAAAAAGTGACATCTTCGGCTCATCGGTTTATCCCTTGATGAGCCCCCATTAACCTTTGGTTTGTGTAGTCATTAGGATTAATACTTCTAAAATAACACAAAATTCTCTTACCAACTAGCTTAGCCACCTTAGGTCCCTGTATAACGCTAGCAAGACGCTGGAGCTTTGTACCGGTGACTATCGCTTGGTTGAGTATCATATCGTTTCTACTTTGAACACTCTTTTTGAGTCCATTTAGAACTCTTGTCCTGTTTTCACTATCCCCTAATAGCGATATCTAGGTATCCCTATGATGGACATCCAACACTCATTGCTTGTTGGATTACAAGGGCTTATATTTCTTTAACAGAATATTTTTTTTTTTTTAAACTAGCCTATTCAGCCACTTTAGGCACTTTAGTACAGAGCCTGAGTCCCGCATCGGCTGGCCAGTAACTCTTAAAGGGGTTCATTCCGGTAATTTAGACACCTCTTAGACTGTTGAATCATATCTATCTGATTAACTAATTATAAATGTACCGGTGAGTTAATGCCCCTAAAAGTGTTATGTATCATGTTGTTGGGCACTATGTAGTTCCGCTGTCTTTATTTGGCATCTTCTCATTCAGAGCACATTCTAATCACCATGAGTATTTGTGCCAATTTATTCATATAATTTTCTGTGCTTGATTACAGACACTTATATGACTCTCATATTATATAAGTTGAATGATCCGTGTTTGAGTCCTGCACCGGTATTAATATGCGGAAACAGGCCGCGCTTTTCCTAATTTAGTTATCACTTCATCCGTTAAGAGCACTTCTGAATCTATTAATAACTATACATTTAATGGACAAAATTATTAGTTGGTATTTAATTCGAGAACCCTATATAACTCATTCATTCACAATGCGAATGCAGTCTTGTTTCACACAGTCAATCGATTTTATGAGTATTAACTTATTATTCAAGTTTCAAAATGAACTTTTTACATATTCTTTTACAAATCTACTATTCTCTTTCTGTCACCCACATATATTTTCACGGTTTAGTATCCCAAAAGGGTTAATACCGGCAGCAATAGAGATACTCCTCCTCTCTGACCTTATTGGTTAATGGTCACTTTACCCTAACGAATCAAATTAAAGTTTCACATATTTAAGCCCGATACTTACCGGTTCTCAGTTCCCTTCTGATAAGTACCTGAATGAAACGCGCGCGTCAGGGGCTCAGGACACCGTAGTCGGCAATATCTCAGTGTTCTATTTCACGCTGCCGTTTATTTGACAGTTACTTTTTCTGAACGGCTATCCTGAGATTGGGCTCTATGCCCGTTTTTGTTTTTATTTCTATTTATTTTCTGTCTTGCTACTTAGTGGTGGGGTCGAGTGATAGTGCAGTTTTTACTTAAGGGGTGCCCTCGAAGGCATGCTAGTTTTGTACTGATAAGTTCAGTCTAGGTACAGGGACGTGATATTTTCCTTTCAGTTACCAACTATCACCTATTGATCTCTGTGAATCACTCCTTTTTTTTTCATATTATACACCTTTTTGGCATTCTTTTACTCCTATTTTGGTGGAGTTAAGCGATTTGTATATACACATTCTGCCTAATTGAGGCAGCTCAACTATCTGACTGGACTCTTTCTGCAGCAGAGTCTAGTTATTGGGAATAGTTATCGCCTCTCCCCCTACCTGTATTGTGTATATACTGCATAAATAGATACTTTTCATCACAAAGTTTTATTTTTCGATATATTGTCTCTTTCAGGTAGTCATACTGATTAAAGAACCACTCTAGGCACCCAGACCACTTCAGCTTAATGAAGTGGTCTGGGTGCCAGGTCCTTCTAGGGTTAACCCATTTTTTCATAATTATAGCAGTTTCAGAGAAACTGCTATAATTATGAATGGGTTAAGCCTTCCCCCTAATCCTCTAGTAGCTGTCTCATTGACAGCCACTAGAGGCGCTTGCGTGCTTCTCACTGTGATTTTCACAGTGAGAGCACGCCAGCGTCCATAGGAAAGCATTGTAAATGCTTTCCTATGCGACCGGCTGAATGCGCGCGCAGCTCTTGCCGCGCGTGCGCATTCAGCCGACGGGGAGGAACGGAGGAGGATCGGAGGAGGAGAGCTCCCCGCCCAGCGCTGGAAAAAGGTAAGTTTTAACCCCTTTTCCCCTTCCAGAGCCGGGCGGGAGGGGGACCCTGAGGGTGGGGGCACCCTCAGG